TTGCAACTGCTCTGATGCGAGATGTTAGTCCTCAGAAGGACTGATGAACTTTCAAGAAGATCCCTAAGGCTAGTAAGTCTTAGATTACTGGGGTTCATTAATGATGTTCATCAAAAACTGAGTGTATAGCTTTAATGAATTTGACTGAGGATGATGTGACGAATGAATATCTGTAGTGACATAAATCTGATCTTTTGTGTCATGAAAATTGCGCTTTGTTTTAACGATCTTTGTTTTGTTTAAAGTGATGAAAACTTAACTGATTAAATATAAACAACGTGATTTGCATACCATATTTATTAAATGCACACTGGGGCATTTAATGGTCAGGGGATTTTCAAGGGAGACATTTATTTTTTCTAATTGTAAGAAGAATACTGTATTTGATAAACTACCCTACGTTTCACTTGGTGTAAAGAGCATAGCACAAATTATTGTCAAGAAGTGTTATATTGTAGAATGATGATTATAGCTTTGGTTTCCAGGTTAACAATAATTTATTTGGAGATGGAGGGGAATTCATTCAAGGTACAAACGAAGACAACCCTCCTTAGGCTTTATTATTTTCTAGGGGGATTTATTCTCATCGACAATCTGGAGGGGGTTTTTATTTGAGTTGACGTTTATTCAAACTGGCTTTGTTTATTCTAGTAAATGTGTAATACATCATATCCAATAGCAGCAGATCACATGAGTCTGATCACATATCACAGATTTTGATTAAAAAACAAAATACAAATAGTAAAAAGCTAAATTAAAATTAAAAGTGTCTATTCAGGCTAAAGTTCAAGTATTATTTATGCATCTGTGTTAATTAGAAAGAAAAATTTTTGTCTTCAAATTTTAATTTATTCAATTAGAATAGAAGCTAATATTATAACACATGAATTTTTCAAATTTTATAAGCTTAAAACAGACAGCAGGGCTTATATCATTAAGATTGCATTGACTATACTGTGCTATATCCTTCTAGATGTTTTGGCAGTGACCTATGCAACTTAGCATGTTGCAAGCTCCATAGACTCAACTTGCTTGTAATGTCAATTCTGTTATCTACTATATGTTTTAATAATTCACTATCTTCATCACACTGAGAAATCATGACGACTGAGTCATGTTCTGTCTTGTAGAAGTTTATGTGAATTGAAGTGTAGAACTTCAATCTTGGAGTGAATAATTTATATGTAGTGTGATTAAGAAATATGATATATTAGTTTCAAAGAAGTCTGGTGCTTTTGTCATTCAAGTGTGGTTTTAATGGCAAGACATTGTCCAAGCTATTTTCCTTGTTCATTCAACTCTAACAAATCCTTCCATTTAAAAGTGCAATGACAGAGATATAACATTTAGAAAACTATAGGAACTGCTTGGTACTACAACGGTGCGAAGCAATAGGAAACAGTAAATGGTACTAAGACTTGTACTGGCTATCCTTGAATACAGGAACTTGTATTGTAGCTCTTTTCAATAAGGTTTTTCATACGGTAGCATAGGACTCTCCTTGTACACAATGTGTTCAGTATTTGTTTTGTCAGTCGTGGGAAAAGGTGTGTTGATGTATAGAAGTAAAAGCTACTGATTATAGATGTATTGTTAAGTAGGCTTGAAGAATTTTGAAAATGAACATAAATATTCACATAAATATTCAATTGTATCCTACGCCACCTTTGCACATAAACTGTTATTTGATTTATGTTTACTTAGATACTCTACATGTGCCAAAGATCATCAATAAAAAGTATACTGTATGTGAAAAAAAACATTTCATGTACTACTTTGTGAAGCTAAAAAAAAAAAAAATCAGTTCCATATATTTAAATTGCCTTTTCTGTATAGTTTCAGTTACTAAGTTAAAACTTGAAAAAAAAATGTTATCATTATCAAGGAGTAAAATAATACATTTGCTGTATTTCTATTAAAGGTTATTCTTCTAGTAAAGTATCAGTAAATCAGCAAAAACTTTTTTTTATCTGTTTCGGGTTGGAAGTTAATAACTAGCTTGATATTTTTATATGAGCTATTTGAATTTCTAAGGATAAATGTTTGGCAAGCAGTACTGTACATCTTCAATAGTACATTAATTCCCAGATAAAGGAGAAAATATTACTTATTATAAATAGTGTTAATCTAGTTAATTGTCATTCTAGTATCATATATGACTGGGTCGCTAGGAAGACAAAATGCTAGGTATGAAATAATGTAGAGATTCCCAGAGGCAAGCACTTGTACTGACTGTTCGACATGCATAGAAGCTTAGTGTCAAACTGCCCATGGCATAGCATCTTATCGAATTTGCATTGAATATCAAAGTTAAATATGTTCACTTTTTTCTTTTAATTTGAGAGACTTAATCAATAGTGAATTCGGACTGATTAATCTAGAAATATTCAACATTTTTGTATGGAATTGGGGGATTTTCTCTGCTTTATAGTTAATGAAGTATATTGATTCAGTAATATAATAAAATTTTAATTTGTACGTTAATGCATTATTAGTTATAACTTTTAAAGGGTTTTCAAATACCGTGTAACTTCCATTGATATATTCAAGAGCTAGCAACAAATGGAAAACCTTTCATGATAACAATTGTGTTGATGATGTTAGTGCAAACTTTATTAATGTCTAATATAACTTGCGATCGTAAATGAGAATTAAACAAGTACATTGCAAAGTAAGACAGCCAAGTGAAGGACTTATAGTGATTTGCTACGCTGACTAGGTGCAGCAAAGCTCTAATGAATAAGTCAATACTTAAAGTGAATCAATTATGGTTTTGAGAATGCATCACAATGAACGTTCAAATTTCTAGGTTGTAAAAAAAGCTTGTTTATAAATAATATACATAAACAATTCAAGAACAATAATTAGGCTTTGATTATAAGCTTTTGTCTTCCATATTTAACAGGGCTTAGTTTTAAGTAAATGTGTACCAAAAAGTACGAAAGTATGAGGATTTATTTGAGAAATTTGCAAAAACTCTATCCCAAAAGCTTTAAAAGTTCACTATGATAGATGAACTCCACTGGAGGGGAAATCCTCTTCATCCACTCCTATTCTACACACTCTTCTTTGTAATGTTCTACATTTCTCTAATTTCTTCCATTCACTTTTTTTTCAGTCTTCTCCCTTCTAACCAGGTCTCTTGGCACCTAATTAATTACTCTTCTTTTTTCTACAGTATGTTACTTGCTTGTCTCTTTTCTTTTAAAATAGCTATTAGTTCTTTTATAACTTTTGCTCTCCTTAAGGTAACCTCCTCCCTGCCCCTATTATAAATCAACGTTCTTATCTGTTTACATAATAAAAAGATGTACATTCTCGCCCCACTTGTAGTGTGGAATATAAACTACCAAAGTGTTCTGTAAACTGTCTCTCGTTATTAGGTTTTTAGGGAGAGGAGTTTTAAATACTGTAATACTATTTCTTTAGGGAAGTGTACATGATGACATAGCATTTCAAATACAGTATATGATCATATTTTAAACAGGAGTTGTCAGGGAGGAATAAAATATTGTACTGTACATTAGGAGATGCTTTCACCAAAAAGACTGTTGCACTAAAAATACAAATATACTAGAATAGCCTGTACAAATATGTAAGTGTAGAAATGATTAATAATTAACTTTTTTTTTACAACTGACATAACCAATAGTAACAATAAAATTTATAGTGGAACTACAGTAATGATTTTAGCAATAAACAAAAATAAATAAAAAATCTTTTCATATATTGATTGTAGGATAAAATCCTGTTTATGGGATTTGTGCCTGTCAGCCTAGCATTGAAACTTTTTTTTAAACCGCAAATATACAGCTATACTAATACTATTGTAATGTTATAGTTTTGTTTTTAAGTGGACAATAACTATCAGCTGAGATGAATGCGACTTGGCACTTTCTATCTAGCTTATGTAATCACGGTACACTTTAACACAATCATTTCTTAATTCAGTGAGTAAATAAGATCTTCAGAAGGTCTAAATTGGCTCAATAGAAGCTTTTTTACTTTGCTGCTTTCAACACTCTAAACTAGAGAAGGTATTATTTTAGACCAGGTGTTAATTATTCTACTAACCAAAAGAGACTATAGAAAACGAGTGTTGTAATTTTCTAGCAAGAGAAACTTTGTTATTATTGTAGATGGTGTAGTATACTATAGCACGTAGACAATTCCTCGTAGATATGTAGAACACTCTGTATGCCCTGCCAATAGTATCAACAAATGACCTCAATTCCTATTAGATTCTTGTATTTTAATTGACTCAATATTCTTATGTCGTACAACTGTCTTTATCTTTGCTACAGAAGATTCATCTATCTTATTATCAAGGTTATTTAACGATTAACTCACAAAAAGCTGTAAAGAAATAGTTATATAATTTGCAGATTTATTGGTGAAACACAGGATTGAAATTAATATACATTGTTATTTTGTCTTGTCTTCTTTTCCTCATGTTTTAACACGAACATTCAAACATTTCCTGGAAAAACATTATACAACTTCCTTGGATCTGGAAATAATCACATGATCTGTAAATTTGCAACTTAAAGCTGATGCAACCTGTGTTGTAATAAAATTACAGAAAATGACTTTTTTATTACTTAACATTATACATATTTATCAAAATACATTTAATTATATCTAGTAAGCCTGAATACACTTCTTATTGAAGTTAAAAAACATTACTGGCCCTTAGTCTAATTGCTACAGAAAATACATATAAAACATTTTTACATATTTCTAGTAAACCTATTGTTATAAAAATTGAAGCTTCTGATTCTACAACCATGGAGGAATTAGTTTATGATACAACAGTGATGGTGTTCTAAAATCAGATTTTCCTGGTTGCGTATTTCTGATTAAATGCCCTATTACAATGGTCTCTTTTAATTCTCTGCTTCCTTGCCTACGTTTGCAATAATTGAAAGTAAATGTATGTTATAGAAACAATAATGTATACTTTTTATATATTTAACAGTTTTTTTTTTTACATTTTTTAGGGGATTTGGTTTTGTAACATTTTCTGATCCTAACTCCGTCAACAATGTCTTAGCTGAGGTTAAACACGAAGTAGATAGTAAAAAGGTAAGTGTAATCTATATATATTTCTTTAAATTTTATTATTTATTATTATATTTATTTATTTCCTTCATAAAATATATAAAAACTTATTGAAATTGAAAGGAAAAACAAAATTCATTGAAACAAGGAGAATATACGGATTGCTGAAGCTGGAAGCGAGGATATCATAAAGGAACGGTGTTCCTGTCCAATAAATGTTCGGAACCCACAAGCACTCATCAGAAAGAAGAATAATCACGCAAAAAAAAATATATTAGAATGTTATATGAATGATAACATTTTCTTAAAATAAAACTAAAATTAATAATAATTAATAGGTGGTATTTTCCAGAAGAGCCCCCAAATATATACGAAGAATAAAAATTACAAGTTATAATAATAATTAATAAATTTATATATTTTTTATTAATATTAATATTGTTTTTGTAATTAAAATAAAATAGATATAGATCCTTGTGAATTGCAGTCAAAATTTTCTTTATAATTTTCTGTAACAAATACACGCTGGTTGTAGAAATTGTGACAACTAGTACGACGAAATTCGTGTTCTCGAGAGATTTAGACTAGACTAAAACCGTTCCTCTTTGTTCCAATGTTTATTCTCCAATATGGATTAACCTACTATTAATATATTCCGTATCTCAAATGTAAACTAATGGTAGTTTCATAATTCTGGTAATGTTTATTGCAAACTGGAGATAGATTGGATTTATTGGATTCATCAGTACAAAACTGTCATTGTTAGATCAATGCACATAGTTAAGAATCTTGGAAGGCCAGCCTAGCATTGTTTTTAGTTGGAATTGTATGCTACAAATAATGCTCTACTTCAGTTACAATCCATGCACTGATTAAACACTTGTGTTCTATGGTGATTAGGTGATCATGTTTAGCATACTCTCCCACCTTTGGTCTTGTCAATGTGTTACACATCGGTGCCAATTGTATAGTGTGCAAAAATGCTCTAGGGAAAATTGCCTTGAGATGCATAAGTAGGTGAAAATTCCCCGAGAAGAAAAAGAGAAATCTTTTTGGAGATATTTGCACACAGGATTGGTAAGACTTCAGGAAGAAAAGTTTAAATCTGGAGAAACACAAAACCTTTTAACAGGATACTTATCCTTATAATGGAATACTGTATAAACATAATAATTAGGTAGTCAAAATCTGATTGTAGAGAATTTTAGAACTCGCACTTTGAAAAGCTGACTGTAGGTTGTTTGTACACTCTGTATAATATATTTTACAAACCAAAGAAAGTATTAAAAGTGTTTGCAATGTTCATTCGGATTGGCAATGGTAGATCTGTAACTTAGAGCGAATGCAAGTTTTTGGGTCCCTGAGGGCGAGGTATTCTTATTAGTGTCTAGCATGTTGCGCAGACATTCAATGTCACAGAGCATCATACCAGTACCTGTCATCACCATTTATACTTTTGGTGGAGACATGTAAATAAATTGTGCCCTGACCAAGGACATCAGAGAAATGTATAACAAGTCCAAATACTGTACCAACCTACACTTTTCCCACTAATGTATGAAACGCCCTCATCTCATAAAGCCTTAGTAAACAATAATGTTCTATTTATGTACAGTAGCACATTTGTACTAGGTAACTCAGTGTATGCACTTTTACAAAAGAATTTAATTTCAAGTTAAAATATGTGACTGGCTCTGGCAAAACTTGCCGTTTGTAGGAAAAATTCAAAATTGAGTTTTGGGTGTTTTTATATGGGTGTGTTTCTACTGATAAGCACAAAATAATCAATTTTTTTAAACCGACTTTTTTAATGAGTACCTGACAGCCTGCTCGCGTTTTTGATTTTTCGAAAATGGGTTTCCGTGACGGAAATTACGTGATCATTTTGTTTATACAACACATTGTTTTCCTAACTGTATAGGATAGTATCTTTCTCATTCCTGTCATGATTACAAGGAGTAGGACGGTGTGGGGCGAGAAGGCAAATGTTTTTGGCTGTGCTCATTGGCACAATGAACGAGCGAGCCAAACGATCGACAACGGTAGGCCCAATATCCCCCCACAAAATTACAAAACGAATTCGTCGCTCCACATGTTTGTTAAGCCTAGGACATGAACAAGAGGAAAAATTGTTTTGAAAGTTCGCGCCTAATACGATCTAGTCTTTGCAGTGATTGACCTGAAGGTCACATTTCATCTGATAATTGCTTTTTTTGTGTTGCATCTATGGTGCACTACCAAAATCGGTTATTTGCCGTCCAAACACGTTATCCATTGCGTGTTATTAATCGATTTTTTTAAATCGCTTTTTTCAAACTCGTCCCGTTTCTACTACGAGAATAAAAGCGATTTTTAATTGATTATTTCTGTCCAGTAGAAACATGCCCTATGTGAATTCTTCTTTAAAACAGTGTTTATTTGATGGAAATTGGTTGAGTATTAGTAAAGTTATGAATATGTCATTCATTGGATATCACTATCAGCTGTGTACTAACTTTACTTCAGATTTAGTGATTACTATTTTGCAGAAATGTTCTTCAATATATTTCTTATTTTATAAAATGTAAAAACTAGAAAATACTCAAAATTCAGATTCTCAAACGTTTCGGGTGCTTGTGGGAAATTATAAATTTCGACAAACAGCAGTTTTTAACTAGAGCTGTTCACATTTTTAACTGTAATGATGCATTCATTCACAGCCCTTCTTACAGTACTCAAGGCTAGAAGCAAGAGCACCAATCGTGTTCCACTTATTATTTTAATTTATTTTGTAATTTGTACTATACTCGCAAACTTGTTAAATATTAACATCATGTCCCATGTGGCCCAGATATGTTTTATAAACTAAATCTCATTAGCCAAGCGTTTTAAGCACCTAGCTACAGACTCATAAACAACATGTTTGCACCTTACTCGGGTAATGCTCCCTTAAAATAATGAGTTGATATTGAGAACATGTCTAAAAATCTTGCATGTCATAGATGGAAGAAGTTTCAGAGCGATTAGTTTTTAGTATATAACCTTCAATTCATGTAGCATGTGTTGGTATGTATGTTAATGTATTAACTTGCTGTCCATACAATTAAAATCCACAGTATATTATTATTACATGGAGCGCCTATACTTGTTTTCGCTGGTGATGCATTTCCAATAATTTCTTTTTCAGAATATATTTTTACAGTAATGCATTGTTTAGTTTAATACTGATAATGTATATTTGTTATTTTAAAAATTTTCTAGGACCTTGACATTGCTAATAATGCTTTAAGAATTTAAAGTACACATAATTACTTATAGAAATAGTACCATGATGTATTTAATTTTTTTTTTCTAATAGTGGTACCTTGAATGAATTCAGTATAATTGAATGATAAAGCACAAAATACTGTTTGTTAAAACACAGAATAGTAAACAAAGAGTAGGCCTATATGAAAAGACCAACTGACAGTCTCAGATTTTTAACTTCGCATAATCACTAATTATCAATTAAATTCAATTCAATTAAAATTAATTTATTCATTAAAAGAACATGTATAAATACAAGTACAATATTCATCTATCCCACCTGTATACAGTAAAGTGCATCTTCTCATTTAGTCTTAAATAGTGGTAGCTGTTAAATCTATAAAAATAAAGTTCAATTACAGTATTCACCAGAAAATGAAATGTTGAAGTCTGGAATGAATTTTTAAAACATATTGTCTCTGGTTGTTTGTTCCATTGTTCCAATATCACAAAGCAGTGCCTCGCTCCTTATGTTCAAGTTGTTTACATTCTGTATAAACTGAATTAAATTATAACACGTCTATACGAGATATGAAGCTTGCTGATTACCAACTGGTGGTTTGTCTATTTTTACTACCCATGATGCATTTGTGTCTGTGCTACACAAAGAATTCAATAAACAATAGGATAATTAATCATGATTTGCTTGTGGCTTTCCAAAAAAAATACTGGCTTCACTTGTGAAGAAAAGAATAATGTATGCAAACCCCAATTAGTCTCATATAAACAATGTAATTGTATGACAATATCATCACATGATGACACACTTAAAATTGTCCTGTTTAACATTCATTAAACAACAACATTTTTTTTTTGCTAACTTTGCTAGTAAGTGGCATTTGATCCGTTTGTTAATGTTTTTTTTTTTTTTTTTTTTTTTTTTATTTTCAGTTTTTTTTTTTTTTTTTGTAATTTCAGGTTGATCCTAAAGTGGCATTTCCCAAACGTGCTCATCCGAAGGTAAGCAACTAACACAATAAGTTCAGTGTTTGAGTAGTAAACCAGTTACTACTTGGAAATATACTTTGTTCACATTAGACCCATTAATAATAAAATTGCTGCTTTTTTAAGGAAGTATATCCAGTGTGAGCAATAACCAAGTTTAGCTAAGCAATTTCTGCAGAAAAAAATTAACCAGGCTAGTTTCATCTCAGCCCTGTTCACTATGTGGTCAAATGTACCGAGACTAATTTATATAATGTGTCTTTTTGTAACTTGGAATAGGGATATAGTAATAAGATTCAATGAATGCATCCATGCTCTTACTTGGTGAGTGGTTGCCCAACACAACACCAGTCTGATAGCTATCATTGGCATTCTGAGTAAATCCTTATTGAAAACAATCTGACAGGACGTCATGAAATCGCGTTGCCTGCCAGTTCACCAACGTAGTGTGTGTCAGCCCTTATTCTTGACAACCAAACTACAGCTCCATTCCTGTTGTAAAAGGCTATGCTAGCTTCACACTTGTCATACTCATATAAATCAGAATGAATTGATTATCTACACTCTACCCATGTGAGACCATAATGAATAAACAACTTGACAAACAGATAAATACATCACAATTTTTCATCTGTCAAACATGTCAAATGACATATATCTGCATAGTTCATAACACTGTTCATCATTTCTCTCTTTCAAATTTTGTTAGGTATATTTCAGCCTTTCATTATTAAAATATATAAATGAATGATAAAAAGTATAAAAATGTGTTAACATTACATTAAACACATTAATCTTTATTATATGTCTGTGAAATCAGTTATTTCCTTTATATTGGAATAATATTATTTTTTTTCTACAAAAAAAGAATCAGCCATAAATAAGATATTTTATTTCAAATTAATCCCAATTTATGCATTAATGTAGTTTTAATGTCAGTATAAAATAGATTAACTATGTAGCTACATAATTTAAAGATCCAATTTCTTGGGAAATTTCCTTCATAAAAAGATAATAAATTTCCTGATGCACTTTAAATTCAAAGCATTGTTTATTCAAGTTCAATTTCTTTTCAACTCAATCTATCGCCAATCTATATACACACACAGGAGTACCTATTATGTTTCGGCAGAATTACGGGGTCGATATTTCAATCCTCTGTGGAATAGAATATTTTACAAGGCTGTTTGTATGTTTGTCCCACGTCTGACTGAAAATAAGGTAAATGGAGTGAAATAAAAAAATCCTTGTTCTACTTAACTTTATTATGTTTAAATTCTTGCAGTTAACCCGACTTTCCAATTTATTACTGCAGTTGAGAATACTAAGATCTGATAATGCATACAGTCCTTTTTTTTTTTTAATTTCAAATTAGATTACATTCTTTAATATAGTTAGTTTCTTTGCTTTTAGAACATATTTTATTGTTTGGAATAATGTGTTGTAAAATATAAAGAGGTGAAGTCCGTTTGAATTATCATGACCTATATTATAAGTCTGTAGAGGATGATAATGAAACTGAAAACTACAAGAAGACATTATATTTTTTTTATCCAAGAACGTAGGAAATTTGATCTGTATGATATTTCATATAATTAGAACACACATATTTTTTATGAGATCAGTGTTATAAGATTTCTACATATTTCTGCCAAGGATACATTGACTTTTATCCATATCAGCTAAAGGCAGGGGTAGGTGCAGGTGCATTAATATCCTCCACATTTTAATCAAAATACATATTTATTTCAAATATTCATGTAACAACCATCAGATAAAATTATATAAGGCATATGAAATATATTATGTAATATATTTTATCCCCAAAAAGAGATTATAATATTTCAGTCAATTTTGTAGGAATGTCATCAGGTAATTAATTTCATTTCCATTATATTTTCATTTGTTATAATTCTTAGCACCTGCTGCTAACTACAAATATTCCTTAATAGTTTGATTTAATATATGCTTACATATCAGGTAGTACTGTACACTGGTCAATTGCCTTGTGTCTTCCATAAGTGTCACAATCATCCTATGGAGGGTAGAATCATGGACTAATATAACTAGCAAAGTAAATATTTACCAAGATTTTGGCACTAAGGCTCTTTATAGACTCATGAGCCAGCTTAGCAAATATAAAATTCTACTTCAAATCAAAATACAGATTTGCTTAACAGACATGGATTTGATTAAAAGTTTACTCATCAAACAAATCATTTGCATGTTATACCAGGATTCTCTGCTTTGTGTTTAAAGGCTAGTGTGTGAGTGCTAAGTCTATAGGCAGATAGGGAGGGGTATGTACGTGGCGTGGGGAAAACAATCATTTTAATTCGTCATGGATCATTCAGTTTTCATTAATTTGCCATGCAGGATCTCATTATCAGCAATCTATAATTAACTTCAATTTATTGCAGCTAAAACATAGTACAATCTGGTAGACTGCTTTGAGACCCAATCTCTCTGATATGATAATAATTTTGGAAATTGTGAATATTTATTTTATATAAATTAAATGAAAAATTACTGTGTGTCAGAACTGCATATTTCCCCCTTCAAATTGTATTGTGCAGACACAGCAGCATTTGAAAATCATGGTCGATCCGCTGGCAACTTTTGACTTGCCCAACACAATTTGGATTTGAAAATGCTAGACACAAGGTATAAAGTCAGTTGTTATGCTATAAACTTTATCAATTGGAGTTTAAGAAATAGTTGTTTGGGCTACTAGGAAATATATATACATATATAATTGTGTGTGTGTGTAATTAATATATGCTACAAAAAATAAAGAAATTAAATGCCAACCTTAGATTATCGGGTATTTTGGGTTGGTTGGGCTTGGCCAATACTGTTTTTATTCGGCATTGTCATTAAAGCTGATATGGTCTTCCTAAACTCAGAACACTGGGTAATGTAATGTAATGTAATGAATTGAACGTGATATTTATTACTATGTTAGTTATTTAATATGGATTGTCAGACCTTCATGTTTTAAATAATGTTCATTATTCTTAGTGCGAGATCAATTCAAATTCTAAATATAATGTAATTGACAAATTATGATTCTGGATACTGATAAAAACATCCTAATGCTATTACAGTATGTGCAAAAAATATAATTATTGAAATTAATATATGAATGAATATTTAGATACTAGTGAGCATATATTATCTACTATAAAGTTAATAAATTATTCTTTTATATAAAGAAAATATACTGCCTCTAGTTCTGCCTAAGGGGTTGATTAATATTTATTAGTGAAGATGATTTGAAGATTGTTTTCATCCCTGATACTAAAGCCTATTCATTTTTGAAACTTTCATATCTACTTAATTCATTTTCAATTGTATTGCTCATTTGCATATGGAATATTACCATGGTTACTTGAGATAAACCTTGGTGACAGGTAGATTATAGATTACTTTCACAAATTTTCAATAACTTGATCTAAAAAAATTACTGTAAAGGACATGTCATTGTTGTACGATGGTTAATGTCTTTAATATATAGACGATCAAACCACTTAAGACCATTTATGTAACAGCTTTTGTGATGCTAGCCCCTATCCTTGGTTTGAGACGGTTGAAGGGCTGGGACGCCAGCCTGCACACAGGGTGGTTAATAAAGAAACTAATGGATTGATAAAGCCATGATTAGGTATGTGTATTAGTGTAAAGCAATTGAAAATGCCACTCAAAAGACACCAGTATATTATCATTAAAAGATATGATTCAGGCAGACTGCAATGCTACCATTTGTATAACTATTAATATAATTCACAAAATGTATTAAGGTAATATATTAGAATAATTGTGTCATTTTAAAATCTATTTTTGTCATTTAATAAATCATCTGAATATTACATCAGTACAACATCAATTTGGCTTATTATATCATGTTATATTTATTAATTAGAAAATGAAAATGCATAAAATGTATAAAAATAATTTAATAGTGTCCACAAAAATACACAGAATTTACATAATTTTACAGTATAATAATTTAATTTAAATAGTAACCTGTGTATTGAAGACAACTGAAACATACTTTCATTTGTGTATTAATTATAAATTTCTTAAATTGTGTAAATATTACATACTGAATTTATTTTGTCGTAGGCTAGACCAAGAAAAAATTTACTACTTGCTTTTTTCAAATTCCACATTGAAAATCTCCCAGAAGAAAGCCAAATCCACATATGGCGAGCCTTTTATTACCTTACTTTTTGGACCTGCTGCCCGATTTAAAAAAAAAATGAATTTTGGCCTATTTCTATAGTTCACTCAGTCTTTTTTTGAAAGAATCCTGTCTGATAAAACATTGGCATCAAATCCACCAAAATGGTGAATTTTATATTCTAAGATGCTTCAGATCAAGGCCATTTTCCCTCATTCTCTTACCCCACAGGAGCTCTCCTGGTCCTACCAGGTTGTCTAGGCAACCTTGGATTTTTGGTTCATAAGAAACACACTTAAGGAATTAAGATTTTATGCCTAACATTGCCACTCATAATTTTTTAGATTTTCATTTACAAATTTGATAAGCTCGTAGCAATTACATGTTTTTTTCCCCAGCTCATTTGCATATATTATGTGGTTCTTATTTCCAACCGACCTCTGACTTGGTTGTCAGATGCTAATGCAGTTCTGTGGTTGTGTGATTAAATAAGAACTAAAGTCTGTTTATATAAGTCAATTTGATAGCTTGATTTAGATCCATCAACCCGAGTCTTATAACTGCAACTGACAAGCCACATATATCAAACATTATTATGCATTCATGTTCTTAGCATATCTTCCCAAGTACAAATTAGTACTTTTACATATAAAAGTTTCTACTTTCTAATCATTTTTAAATTATTGTCAAATTAATTTTAGTGCAATATCCATTTTGTGTGACCTGTCCATCGATATCTCATTAAACCAAGTAAATAAGATATAAACTTGAACGAGACAGATGAAAGAATTTGGTTTGCAAATTTAGAAACTTTAATACATAAATCATTAAA